CAAAACTATTCCAAAAAACTGAAGAAGACGGAATGCTTCCTAACTCGTTCTATGAGGCCAACATCACCCTGACACCAAAACCAGACAAGGACAACACAAAGAAGGACAATTACAAGCCAATATCGCTGATGATCACGGATGAAAAATCCTCAACAAAATATTGGCAAACCGAATACAGCAATACATTAAAAGGATCATACACCATGATCAAGTGGTATTTATACCAGGGACACAGGGATGGTTCAACATCCACAAATCAATCAATGTGATACATACACCACATTGACAAAATGAGGAATAAAAATCACATGATTATCTCAATAGATGCAGAGATAGCATTTGACAAGATCCAACATCCATTTATGATAAAAATGCTCAATAAAATGGGTATAGAAGGAAAGTACCTCAACATAACAAAGGCTATATATGATAAACCCACAGCCAACATCATACTTAACGGTAAAAACTGAAAGCCATCCCTCTGAGAACAGGAACAAGATAAGGGTACTCACTCTTGCCACTCCTATTCAACGTAGAGGTTAAGCCCAGAACAATTAGGCAAGAAAAAGAAATAAAAGGTATCCAAATTGGAAAGGAAGAAGTGAAGCTCTTGCTGTTTGCAGATGACATGATAGAAAACCCTATATATATATATACACACAAACCTAAAGAAAACCCTAAAGAGTCCACCAGAAAACTAGGGTACAAAATCAACTTACAAAAATCAGCTGCTTTTCTATACACTAACAACAAACTAGCAGAAAGAGAACTCAAGAATACAATCCCACTTACAATGACAACATAAAGAATAAAATATCTAAGGATAAATTTAACCAAGGAGGTGAAAGACCTACAACCGAAACTGTACTGAAAGACTATGACTGAAAACTATAAGACATTATTGAAAGAAATTGAAGATGATGTAAAGAAATAGAAAGATATTCCATGCTCATGGATTGGAAAAATAAACATAGTTAAAATGTCCGTATTACCTAAAGCAATCTCCAGATTCAATGCAATCCCAATCAGAATCCAATGATATTCCTCACAGTTATAGAAAAAAGAATCCTAAATCTCATATGGAACAACAAAAGACCCCAGATAGCTAAAGCAATGCTGAGAAAAAAGAACAAAGCTGGAGGCATCACAATCCCTGACTTCAAAATATACTACAGGGGCCAGCTGGGTGGCATAGTGGTTAAGTTCACACACTCCACTTTGGTGACCTGGCGTTCACCCGTTTGGATCCTGGGTGTGGACCTATACACCTCTCATCAAGCCATGCTGTGGCAGTGTCCCACACAGAAGAACCAGAAGGACTTACAACTAGGATATACAACTATGTACCAGGGCTTTGGGGAGAAAAAAAAGAGGAAGATTGACAACAGATACTACTTCAGGGACAATCTTCCTAACCGAAAAAAAAGCATATATAAAAAGAAAAAAAAAAGAGTGGGCTTACCTCTGTGAAAAAAAAATATAGGAGCCGGCCCGGTGGCACAGTGGTTATGTTCGCTCATTCTGCTTCTCGGTGGCCTAGGGTTTGCTGGTTCGGATCCTGGATGTGGATATGGCACCTCTTGGCAAAAGCCATGCTGTGCTAGGCGTCCCAAGTATAAAGCAGAGGAAGATGGGCATGATGTTAGGTCAGGGCCAGTCTTTCTCAGCAAAAAGAGGAGGATTTGCAGTAGTTAGCTTAGGGCTAATCTTCCTCAAAAAAAAAAAATATATATATATACATATACTACATACATATATATACATATACAGACATACATATATATATATATATATATATACACATACGACAAAGCTATAGTAATCAAAACGGCATGGTAATGGCACAAAAACAGAAACACAGATCGAGGGAACAGAATTGAAAGCCCATCTACGACAGTTAATCTTTGATAAAGGAGCTAAGAACATACAATGGAGAAAGGGAAGTCTCTTCAATAAATGGTTTGGGAAAACTGGACAGGCACATGCAAAAGAATGAAAGTAGACCATTATTTCACACTATACACAAAAATTAACTCAAAATAGATGAAAGATTTGAACATAATACCTGAAACCATAAAACTCCTAGAAGAAAATATAGGCAGTACGCTCTTACCAGTCTTAGCAGCGTCTTTTCAAATACCACGTCTACTCAGGCAAGGGACACAAACAAAAAATTAACAAATGGCATTACATCAGACTAAAGAGCTTCTGGAAGGCAAAGGAAATCACAACCAAAATGAAAAGACAACCCACCAACTGGGAGAAAATATTTGCAAATCATATATCCAACAAGGGGTTAATCTCCAAAACATATAAAGAACTCATACAACTCAACAACAGAAAAACAAACAACCTGATCAAAAAATGGGCCGAGGATATGAACAGACATTTTTCCAAAGAAGATATACAGATGGCCAACAGGCACGTGAAAAGATGTTCAACATCTCTAATCAATAGGGAACTGCAAATTAAAACTACAATGAGAATGGCTATAATTACCATCAGAATAGTTATAATTACAAAGACAAAAAATGACAAACGCTAGAGATGATGTGGAGAAAAGGGAACACTCATACACTGCTGGTGGGAATGCAAACTGGTGCAACCACTATGGAAAACAGTACAGAGATTTCACAAAAAATTAAAAAGAGAAATATCACATGATCCAGCTATCCCACTATTGGGTATTTATCCAAAGAACTTGAAGCCAATGATCCAAAGAGATTTCTGCACCCCTGTGTTCACTGCAGCATTATACAGAATAGCTGATGCAGAAGTGGCTGGGTGTGCATTTCCAGGCTCTGCTTTCTTTTCTGACCCTTGGTGGCAGAGGAAGAGGAGAGAGGATTGAACTGTTTTACAAAACTGGCAAAATAAGCATATAGCATCCTCTGACTGTCTCCTAGGTTCCCAAGTGCCCATCAAGTGATAAACAGATAAAGAAGATGTGATATATATATATATAATGGAATACTATTCAGCCATAAAAAAGACAATGTCACCCTATTTGCAACAACACGGATGGACTTTGAGGGTATTATGATAAACGAAATAAGCTAGACAGAGAAAGACAAACACCACATGATTTCACTCATGTAGAAGATAAACAAACACATGGATAAAGAGAACAGATTAGTGGTTACGAGAGGGAAAGGGGGTTGGGAGGTGGGTTTAAGAGGTAAAGGGGCATATATATATGGTGATGGATAAAAATTAGGCTATTGGTGTGAGCACGATGCAGTCTATACAGAAACTGATAAATAATAATGTACACCTGAAATTACACAATGTTGTAAACCATTATGGCCTCAATAATATAGTTTTCAAAAATAATTAAAAAAATTAAATAGTCAAACAATAAAAAAAAAAAACGTGGAATATCAGATTCTGAGAGAGAGGAAAAGTTGTTCTCTAGAAAGCTGATTGAAGGATCATATCAGATGTGGGTAAACAAACTTTTTGAGTAAGAAAAAAAAGAAACCTGCAGATTTCAAGACCCCACCCTAAAAACATATTCAGTGGGTGCTCGGGATCTCTAGTTGTCCTAGAGCACCAGGTGAGTCTGTTTGCCTCATGTTTGGGATTTGCCAACCTATGTGACTCCCCCAGTAACCACAAGTCTGCCTCAGTCACACCAAGTCTCAGAGAGAGATTCTGAGGTTCTAATTTCCAGTAGTGGGCAGTGGAGGTCACTACAAAGAGGCGTTAGCTGTCTTTTGTGGGTTAACTAGACTCACCGAAGGAACTTTCTGGAAACCCCAGGGCCTGTGTCCCTCCTCTAACCCAGGTTAGGGAAACTTCTTAAGTTACCAGCACTTTCTCTGGCCTTGAGGGTGTGTGTCGGGGGAAGGAACCATGGTCTTGCTGCTGTGGCCCTGAGAACAAGCGTGCTGTCCACAGGGTGGGTGACTTCACCTGGGCCTGAGGGCTACGAGCTGCTGACAGTGCCCCCTTCTGTTCTGCGCTGATGAGGCAGGTGGGCCTGGGATACAGGCCCCAACACTGTGCTCTTTCCTCTCTGCTGATTTTCTCCCACCCCGACTCCCCAGGAACAACTGTCCCCTTACCTGCTGAGAGAGGCATTCCACTGGGAACAGCCAGCAGCTCATTGCCGTGGCACACGGCACTCAGTGAGCTGTTTAGCATCTACATCAGATCACTTCACTACCCTGTTCAAATCCCTCCAATGACTTCCCGTCCATTTAAGACAGGATGCTCTCCTCACCATAGCCAAGGCCTGCTACGGTCCAGCCCACGCCTACTTCTCCAACCACATCTTTCATCCTTCTCTGTCTTTCCTCACCAGCCCGACTGCTGGTCCTAGAACAGGCCAGCCTCATTCTTACCTCAGTGTCTTTGCACTGGCCATTTTCTCCTCCAGGAATACTCTTCCTCCAGCTGCTCACATGACTCCCTCACTCACATCTCCACTGAAATGTCACCTCCTCAGAGAAGCCTTTCCTGACTACCTTGTGTACTATAGCACCCCTTCCTCACTCCATCCTCTTATCCTATTTTACTTTTCTTTCTAGCAATTATAATTACTTGAAATTATATTGTTCACTTGTTTCTTCCTTTAGTTTGTGGGTGCCTTAGGAGAGGGGCTTTGATCATCTCATTCACTGAAATATCCCAAGACACCAGCACAGTGGCTGTGAGATAACAGGTGCTCAATAAATATTTGTTAAATAAATGGATGGATGGGTGGATTAGTAGATGTAACAGCATCTTCTCAGTTCTGCCTCTCCTCTCCTTTCACACACACACACACACACTTGCACATACAGAGGGAAGTACTCATTAGGCTCTGCATTTCTTAAAGAATGGGCTTGTGTCCTGCCTGAATTTGCATAGCCACATAGTGAGAAGCTGCACCCAAGGGCCCGTTTTAGAGGCAGAAGGTCTTAGAGGACCAGGTACCACATGTGGGAATGCACTTGAAGGGAACAGGGAGTTTTGGGGCCTGGCCTTGGACAAGCTGGATTTCAAGTCACACACTGTTACAGAAAATCATTTTATTGAACAGAAAGGGCTGGGAATAAAGGAGCATGTGAGCCGCAGGGGAGATGCTGCTTGCCTCTTCATCCTGTTCCTGCTCCAGGGAGCAGGTCTTCCTGGGTCTCTTTATTCTGCCTCCTGAGACCCCAGGCAGGAGGCTCCCTGGGTAGCCACAGATTGCTTCTTTCAGATTCAAAAAGCCCAGCTCCTCCTGGTTTGTGCTGGTAGCTGCTGGCAATGAGTCATGCAGGAGTCCATCTGGTAGACTGGGCCCCTGATAAAGCCGCCCTGCACTGTCTCTCTGCTCCTGCATCCTCCTTGGCTCGCAGAGTGCAGACTTTTCTTTCTTCTGCCCAAAAAGGGACTCTAGAGGATGGAGCAGAGGAACAGCAGGTTTTCTTCCAGGCCAGCTTCAGTCCTGGGATGCTCAGAGCAGCCTCTCATTTCAAACCTCAGTTGCTGAGGCTCCTTGCCCATGGCCAGTTAGTATGGAAGGAGGCTCCTGGTGGAGAAAGGCTCAGACAGAATGGCTCAGGTTCTAACCTCCGATGGTGGGCAGTGGGGCTCACGGCAGGAAGAAGCATTAGATGTCTCAGGCCGTTAAATGTTTGCCCTCTCTACAGACAGACTCAGCCAGCGAGCTTCCGTGGGGTCCACCTTCTGCCACCATGCTGCAATCGCTGAATTTTGGGGGTGGGGCAACCTAGATCTTTGTCCGGCTCTGCCACAGCTCGCTGTCTCTTGGGCGTCTGCCTGGGGATTGGCTTCTCTGCTTCCACTTTTGCTGGGGTGGCCACAGGAGCATCCCCATAGGCCCTGCAGCCACCAACCAGGCAGTATGTCTCTCCATGCCAGCCCATCTGGGTTTCTCCACACCCTCGGTAGAGGACATGGTATAGACAAGGTGTAGGAGGAGTAGTGGGAGCCACTGCTGGAAAGAAAATCACAACTGATCAGTCACTTCTGCTGGACACAGTGTCCTGCCAGGACCTCCCCTCTCTCACGTCTCTTTCAGCTTCTGGTTGAAAGCCCTTTAATCTGCTTGGCATCCAAAACACAGCCTTGGCCCATCACCTCTGAGTCCCCTAGAGAAGCGATGTCGGCGGCAAAAGCAATTCCCTGGAGCCTATGGCAGCAGCAGACCAGGAAATCTCTTCCCCATTCCTAGAGAAAACTGTAGAACCCGAAAATAATTGCAATGAGGATCCCTTCCATCTCTCCCTTCCACAACAGAGAAAACATTTCTTAAGCTCTGTCACTTCTGAGGCTTTCATGGAAATGCCTTTCAAATTTTAGAAAAAATAATCTAATTTTAATCGGTTAAGAACCCCTTTCACCTTGGCAACTCCTCTTGGGCCTCGTTCATTCCACCTGTTTCAACCACCATGAACTGTAGCCCTCTGATACTTTTATCTAGGTTAGAAGAATGGCCAACTACTGAGACAAGAGAACCGGAGGTTCAAAGCCAGAATCTGGCAACCAAGTCTAGGCTCACATCAGCCCAACCTCCTGTGACACCGTTTCCTCAGCCCTCCAGGCTCAGAATCACTTCATCACTCCCCTTGCCTCCTCTGTTCTTCCCATCAATGTGACACCACTCTTTCCCCCAGTACTCAGCAGCTCAGTATCTGAGGGGACTCACGTGCATGTCTACATGACAGCACAGTGAAGGTGTCTGGGTTGGAAGGTGAGGTTCAAGAGGGGTTCTTCCTCAAACTGCTCCATTTATCGCTTGCCAACAAAAACGCACTTTTGCTAAGAGGCCAATCAGGAAAGGGTCTGAATGGAAGCATCTTGTAGCCCAAAGGGAAAGGCTACCTTTGTAAACCTTTCTGAACACTCGCCCAATGGTGACGTTTCACTGGTCCTCAGCAGTGAGCAGGAACAGTGTGGGTCCCTGAGGGGGCCCTGGGCCACAGGCATTACTTACAGCTGGGGATGTTCTGAGGTGTGGTGGGCAAGCCCAAAAGGAACATGTGGCAGCCAGGTGAGGTTGTGTGTACACCAATGCCTCTTACACAGATGCCTGCACTAGGCCTACCTGCTCCGTTGCCCTCCCAGGGGACAGAGGACAAGTTCGAGTTAATATAGAAGATCCGGTCAGACATTCTCTCTCAGGCAACCTAACAGATCGGTATCTGGTAGAGAACTAGTCGGGAAGTTTCCCCAAGAGCACCACGTTTGCGTGGTTATCCTGCCATGGAAACTGTGAGGTTTGTGAGGTCATCACTACCCAGTGAGGTCACATAAGGAATCTGTGACTTGAGGGGCAGGCTTCAGGTTCCTGGGGTTTTGTGGAGGAGAGTAAGGTGGAGGTAGAGAGGCATCCTGCCTGGGCCCTCACACCTGGCTCTCCCCACTCATGCCCTAGTCAAGTAGCCACTCCCTGTGGAGGATACTTGTGGGCTGGCACAGCCTCAGGGACCACAGAAGGGCAAAAGAAACCCATATTCTGAGACTGGCTGGAGAGGCAAGATTAGCTTAAGAGACTGCTGGGTTGTGTGTCACTGATCCTAAGTATTCAACAGCTGGAGAGGCAGAGATTTGTGTGGATTGGAAATGAGAGAAGGCACCTGGATGGTGGGCCTGAAGGACAAGTGAGATTTGGACCCATGGAGAGGAGGGAAGATATTCCAGGTGGGAAGAATAAAAGCAAAGACTAACTCTTCCTGACCTTGTCCTGCCCCAAATGTAAATTCATAGATCCCTCACATTTTCACAACTGAGGCCTCCAAAACCCGAGAGGCTAAGGGGTCTACCCAAGGTTACACAGTACTGGAGAGGTGTTCTGCTCCATGATAGGGCTCCATGTTGGGACTCTGGATTTGTAGCTGATAGGAACATGAGGGCAAGCTCATCACATTCCAGGGACATGGGGAGAGATGTTAAAGGTGCTCCAAAGCAAAATGAGGGTCTCGAATGATGTCGCAAAGTGGGAAGGATGGGTTCATTTAAATATGAAATTTAAAACAAATTCATGACAAAATGACATCATACAGAATGACAGCCTAATCATTACACTCCTCTCTCCCCCAAAAGGGCAAATAATGACAATCCCAACATCATGAACGAAAGAGACTTGGGCTCAGCTGGTGAAAAACCTGTTCAACACCGTGAAAAGGTCTTACTAAAAGCCGATTTGGTCCTACTCAGAGGAGGAGGAAAGAGATAACTCTGCTCTTAGCCTGATCAGGCCCATGGGAAGGAACTATATTTCAGGCAGCCTTTGATACAGTGTGGCCAAGAACTTCCTAGCAATGAGAGAGAACCTTCCTTAGGAGGAGGCTCCCTGTGGCTGACCTTGAATAAGCAAAGATGGGACATTTGTTGACTGGGGCTGTTGCAGAGGGGATGTGCCCAGGAGGTAGAGACTGTCCAGGCTACTATTTTAGAGGTTGGCCACTCCCAGTTGAGAAGCACCTTCTCTCTACTCCTAAGTTGCCTGATCAGCGTGGTACAGGATAGGACAGATGAAGTCAGGCATAATTAGAGCAGACTGCTTTTGGGGAGGGCTCTGGAGGAGGTTCATCCTGGCAGGTGGGCCAGCATGAGACCCCTCAGATTCTCCAAGGCTCCAGAGAGATTACTCACCCGGGAGCACCCCTCTGCTTTGGTGGGGCTACTGAAACCTTATCTGGATCTGGCGGGGTCTCTGGGGAAGGCAGAACAGCATACACAAAAGGTTTATCAACTTAAGAGGGTTTGAGACTCACCTGGAGAGTACACAAAACAGCTTAAAATTACTCGTACATGGATTCTTGGGCCAACCCTCAGAAAACTTATCCAGATCTGGAGTGGGGCTCAGAAATCTGCTGGGGCTGGCTGGCTGGCAGAGTGGTTAAGTTCACACGCTCTGCTTTGGTGGTCTGGGGTTCGTTGGTTCAGATCCCAGGAGTGGACCTCCACATCACTCAAGACCATGCTGTGGTGGCATCCCACATACAAAATAGAGGAAGACTGGCACAGATGTTAGCTCAGCGACAATCTTCCTCAAGCAAAAAGAGGAAGATTGGCAACAGATGTTAGCTCAGGACCAATCTCCCTTACCAGAAAAAAAAAAAAATCTGCACTTTTAACAAGCTTCCTGGGCAGTTCTACCATCGTGGTCCAGGGAGAGCGTGACCAAATTATTCTGTAAAGTGGGTCACTTTTGAGAGTCAAAGCAGGCAATATTAAGAACTGAGTCAGGCATAGATGTAAACAAGGAATATTCAAGGAAAACAGAGATGTAGAGTAGTTCTGTGCATGTATCACATTTGAAAAAAGCTAGCATGGTAGCTAAGAACACAAACCTTGGTGTAGATAAGACCCGATTCTGTCCAACCTACTTGTCTGATTTTGAGCAAGTTCTTTGTCCCTCTGAGCTTCAGTTTCTTCATATGGAAAAGAGAGCTATGATTGTACATTTAGTACAATACTCTCTTCTGGCAAAGGCTGCCCTGGGCCCACTTCTGTTCTCTGAAACCCTACTGTCTTCTGTTTGCAAGTATTTTTAGGTTGTTTCGTAGAGCATTATATTTCGACTCTGACCTGTTCATTACTTTAGGCAAAACTCATATACTGCAGCAGAGACTGGAACCTAGAAGTCAGAGGATGCTACACGCTTATTTTGCCTGTTTTGTAAAACAGTTCAATCCTCTCTCCTCTTCCTCTGCCACCAAGGGACAGAAAAGAAGGCAGAGCCTGGAAATGCACACACAGCCACACTTCTGTGTCAGTCTGCCTTTTATTCTTCTGCCAGTACTTCTCAGAGAGATTTCAGCAAGAGTGCCCAAACCTGCCACGGGCACTGCTGGTGAAGAAAATTTCTCCCTACTGCTAGTTACTTCACCTTTCCCTTTTCCTGGCGGCTTAGTGGATATTTTGGGGGCAGGAAATAAAATCTAAATATTTATAAGTGAAACCATCAGTTGAAAGAGCCTTTGTCCTAGGTGTGGTAGTTTGGAGTGTGAATCTTCTCAATCCAATGAATTCTGCCCCAGTGGTAACTATTATTAGGGGAGATCCATAAAAACATCATTTATTGTTAGAAATCATGACATAACGCAAGCCAAAATCTACTTTATTTTTCATGAGTCATAGGAAAGATGACAGAGAGCCATGCTCAGAAGTTCACCCTCCCGTGCTGGCCTGCTGCTTACCAGGCCTTTGGGGAGGTGACTGGGCAGCCCAACACATCCTGCTGACAAGCGTGCTCACCCACCCAGGGCTCAGGGAAAGATCTCTGTTACGGCATCATATTTAAGCCAGCTGTAATCAGGTTTGCTGGGGCAAAGGCTCTCTCACTGAGGACCCTAGTCCTGGAAGGCTTCTCCTCCGGCGAGCTGCCAGCTCAATCTTCTGAACCAGGCTCACATCCCAGGGATGGGTCACAAAGCTAATGACTGTTCCTGGCACGTCGCTTCCCACACGGCCCACCCTCCCCGCTCTGTGGATGTAGTCTTGCAAGGTGAGGGGGAAATCATAATTGACAACCAGCTCCACGTGGGTGCTGTCCAAGCCCCGAGAAGCTATGTCTGTGCAGAGAAGTATGTCTCGGGAGCCCTTTTGGAAGCGCTGGAAGATACCTGCCCTCATTGAGGCTGGCATTTGTCCCTGCAGCCTGAGGTGTTGGATTTTGTGGTCATCTAGAATATAGCCTAGCCAGTTCACAGTGCTGGAGCTATTACAGAACACCAGAACTGTTCCTGAGGGGCCCGTCCTATATGCTCTGTCATGCTGCTTGAGGATCTGTACCAACTCAGTCACCTTCTCTGCTCCCTTCAGCCTCATAAATGTCTGTCTGACATGAGGCATGACACAGTGGAGCTTGGAGCTGGTGATAGTGGTTAGAGAGTCTGGGCTGGCAACTTTACTCAGCAGCTGGCTTACACCTTCGGGAAATGTGGCCCCCACCAGCACTAACTGAGCTTTGGGATTGAAGGGGTCTTTTAAGTCAGCTGGGCCTTCCGCTATATGGCTCTTCTCCAAGATGTAGTCCACTAGTTCCAGGAAGCTTTCATCCAGCAGTGTGTCTGCCTCATCCAACACCAAGAAGGAGAGCTGCTCCAGGCTGATCAGTTGTCTTTTCAGGGCCTTCCACAGAGCTCCCGGAGTGACCACTAGTACATCTGCTGGAGGTTGTTTGGACAGTTGCAGCTTGATTCTACTCATGCCATGCCCTCCCCCTAGCTCCCGCACCTGAAGGCCCAGGGAGCTGCCCAAGGGCTGGGCCACGGCACGGACCTGTTCGGCTAACTCTCGAGAAGGCACAAGGACCAGGCCTCGAGGAGCAGGGATACGCTGGGAGTCCAAGCGTGGCCGGCTCAAGAGCAGTTGAAGCAGAGGTAGTAGGTAGCTGAGGGTCTTGCCACTGCCAGTTTCCGCAGCGCAAAGGATGTGGCGGCCGCGAAGTAGTGAGGGGATGGTGCTCGACTGTACGGTTGTAGGCCGAACGACTTCGGGAGCAGCTTCCTGTAGCGCGTGCAGCACGCGAGGCTCCAGACCCAGATCGGCAAAGCCGTCCTCAGATGATAGGTTCCGTAGCGCTGGTACTTCGTGTTGCGCGCGCTCGATGGAGAAGCGGTCCTGGCGGGCGCGCCGATTCTTCCAGCCACGCGAAGCGAGCGGCGCGCGCTCCCAACGGCCCAGCGTGAGGCGCGCCGGCTGGTTCAACTCCTGCCGCCGCGCCGAGATCAGCAGCGGGCCAGGTCGCACTAGCACCGGCCGCGGGGGACTCCGCCGCCCACTCTGCCGCAGTTCCTGCCGTCTCAGTAGAGCCCGCGGGATGCGCACCACCGGCAGGGGCTCGTCGGGACCGCGGACCGCCAGGTCCCGTCGAGGCGCCAGAAGCAACCGAGCTGCCAGAGACAAGAACCCCGGCGGCCGTGCCAAAGCCATATTCTCTTTGCTGCAGGAGAGGCGCGCGACAGTGACGTCACGGGCGCGCCAAGGCCTCGTGGACGGTGGCTGGCGCGGCTCAGTAAGGCTTGCGGATTTGGCGAACCGTGAGGAAGAAGCGAGGACCTGTAGAATTCGACAGCGGCGAGGTCTGTAGTTCCAAACAGAGGATGGCGACGTCCAGATCCGGCTAGCCTTGGGGAAGGGCGCGCGATGGAGGCAGGACCGGGGTCCCCCAGTGCGCGCCGGTGGGGCCCTGGCCTTATGAACCAGGTCCGAGCCCTGCGTTTCTCCTTTGTTGCCGTCACCGCACCTGTGACGGCTTGTCCAATGCCAGTCTCCCCATGTAAACTCTGAGGGTGCAGTGATGTTTTCCCAAATGTGGTCCCCGCGCAAGGTCTGGATTTAATAAGTGTTTATTGAGAGTCTGAATGAATGATCAGGCCTAGGGGCCGAGACAAGGGCCAGCTGTCTTATATCTAGACTCAAACGACCCCTTTCCTGGCTAGCTGAGAGCCCAGAGGGCAAGCTTGTGGCCTTCTCTCTGTGTATTGGGAAGTAAGATCTTCAGGCTTTATTTCAAGCGGAGTGCTCTCTTCTTCACACTTTTTTCCTTCCTTTTCAGCCAAGGTTCACTGTCCATTCCCTTGTCACCTCTCCCAACTTCTCATCCTGAGCCCACCACTTTTGCAGCCTGCTCAGCTTCGCTGGCTTCCCACTAGTGAGTAGGGTCCTTCTACCCTACCAAGTGATCAGGTATGTGGCTTGTCTGACATAGCCCTGTCAGGCAGAATATTGTACTTGAATTCAGATGTTCAGGTTGCAAAAAAAACCACCCTGCACTGTTTGTACTTCTTGAACAGATCTAGAAAATGGGTGTCAGATCTTTTCCATAGTCCCCAGTACCTGGAGTGGGAGATAAGGTAAATGTGGATTAACCACCTGGGAAATTCTTGACATCTGGAGAAAGTGTTTTAGTTTCATTAAATACCATTAAAAAGATAAATACTTAGGGCCAGCCACGTGGCTAAGTGGTAAAGTTCCATGCTCTCCGCTTCGCTGGCCCCGGGTTTGCAGGTTGGGATCCCTGTGTGGACCTGCTCCACTCATCAGCCATAATGTGGAGGCATCCCACATACAAAGTAGAGGAAGATTGGCACAGACGTT